GAGTTAGGAGGGGTAGAGGTAGACCTAGATTAGATTACTGTTCGCAAATAGTTAAGGATGTGGGCTGTTCTAGTTTTAGGGAAATGCGAAGTTTAGCTCAGGATAGGAAAGAGTGGAGGTACGTATCCAAACCAGTCTTAGGACTGACGACCTTATGATGATGATGATGATGAAGTTTTTAAAATAATAGCGTACACTAGCTCAATCTACACTCTAGGTAGCGATAATTAGTATAGTAACTACATGTGCGACATTCAATAAAAGTATTTTGTCAATAAAGGAACAATAAAATTTTGTTTTTCATAAAAATTGGCTGTAATCCGGAGAAAACTTAATTTTTCTAAGGTCTCTGGACTGAAACTGAAGAATTGGTAACCCAATATTTAATATTAATTAAACTAAAAAGTTCAAAGAGGGAATCTTCCCCTAATTTTCTCCACATAAAAGTGGACTAACTTTCAGCATATGATGACCCAACTGTAAAAAAAGAATCAACTTATGCCTATGTTATTCCAAATTTGATTTGCAAAAGTTGACCTGCCAACTTCATCAAATATTTTGTAACCGTAAATTTATATTTTGAGGACAATAAAATTTTAAATCGTAGTTATTTTATCTCCATAAGTCGAATTTTTTACTCAAATATTCATAATACTCCTACTGATAAGTGTTGAGCGCCTATATAACCATCAAGTCAAACTAAAGTTTTTCAGAATGATACGCACATTACTATAGGGATTTAACGATTTAGGATAACGATGCATAGTATGTGTTTGAAGAGCAGCTTTTGAAACATTGAATAAAGTTAAGCAGATTCACAGTTTAGTTTTCACTAAGTACATCAACGATGGTAAAAATGATGAAACGAAACGTTTAACGAACAACATAATTGTTGAGATGAAAAAGGATGAAAATACAAAGATACCGCACAATTATTTGGACTTCCGCGAACAGCCTAACACATTATCGACCATTTATATTTTTGTAACATATAATAAACTATACTTAACGCCCTATTTGACGCATTTGTAATTTAAATTTCCCTAACACAAATTTGACTTTCTATCCCTTGGATATTCGAGTTAGAGAAACCTAGTTGAACTGATGCTGTTCTGTTTTTGAGTATAAAGTCCGTCGTGTGTTGGAGTTGCTTTCTAACGTTTCGCTAGCACGAGTGACGAGCTTCTTCAGAGGTCCTTCCATCTCCGATGCTGGATGCGGACGTTAGGAAGTAACTCGCAACACACGACGGCCTTTAGACCCGAATCAGAACAGCATCAGTTCACCTACTGGCCGCGAAAGCCTTTACCAATTTGTCAAACCTAGTGGAATCATAAAATTCAATAACATGAATACCTACGCAAGGCATGCACAAAACCTGTCATAGTTATCGAGTCCAATGAATCTATACGAATCAAAAAAAAAAAAAATGAAAGACCAAATACAGAAACGTGAACTTCCGTCATCATACACTGAAATGACACAAAATGGCAAAATAAATCCTTAGAATACAAAGTAAAAATGCTTGTTGAAATGAAAATTTGCTAAGGCACAAATATTCAACTTGTCTTTACTGTAGCGCTGACCCAGTGACCCTAGACTAGTGACCGGTACAGGTAGCTAATGGGAATTTATAGGAAGTATCCGAATATTCACACATCCTAGTGCAGGATATATTTATGTCTCACACGAGCGGCATCTAGGTATTAAGATAGTATTACACAAAAAGTAATAAAAGTAATGCAGTCGCATAGTCACATTCGACGAGCAAAAATCGGCCATATCTAGTCAGTAATCTCAAAGTGATTTTCTCGGAAGTATTAGGAACATAAAAATCTTTAACTAAAACGTTTTATTGTTGCATATCTTTAACGCTTGTAAACGTAATTATGGCCTTACCTCACAACATGTATTGTACGTGTATGTATTTTAAAATAATATGTTATACATTCTTACCCAATTTTTTCCCTTAAAATAAGATACACATTTTGCTCCCAGAGCTCCTCTTCCTCCATATACAATAACACGCCCAGCAGCCATAGTTTTGAGATTTTCACTGTTTTTTATTATCAGTTAAATATGCTACTACCTATAAAATATATATTGTGACCGAAATGTGTGGAGTTAAAGAGCTTAAAATTAAAAAACAATAATTGCGTCTAGTACAGTTACGTACACAACAATAAATAATTGTGAAAGTAATTTTCTAAAGCTAAAGTGAACGGTTTACATTAAAAGTAAATTAACGTTGCACAGTTGAAGTTGAAATCATGTTCTTGCGTTTTTCTGTAATGACCTTCGAAGAACGGGTACGATCGACTTTTGTATCTTAAATTTAGATTACAGTAATGGAGGCTGTGATTATTGCTTCACCCTAATTTTTACATGTGTATTAGATAATGATAACAGTATATAATTAATTGCATAACCGAAATAGAGGCGTAATGTGTAATGTGAAAAAATCGATCAATTAACAGCAGATAAAAAATGTGTAACGTACATCTTATATTTGTTGTATGGTTATAAAATATAAAAATAGAAATGATGGATTACAACCATAGATCCAATTTTTAAGCAAAAAATAGACTCTACAACGTTGCCGATGTTTCTAAAAATAAGTAAATGCATATGTTTTACATAGATGCAAATTGTTTTTATACGATTGATAATTTAAAATCCTTAATACAAGCTTAACTGAGATTATATTGTTTTTATTCTACTATTAAAACTGTAAATTTAAATAAACGGATTGAGTATGCAGAGGATATTTGAATCTCAACTAAAAATGGTTAATAATATCATTATGCCAAAATTAAAGAATAGAATTATTATTAATAGAGTAGTCACCTCTTTACTATAAAAATGGTGATTCGTTCTTCTTTGGTACAAAAAAGTTTCATTTTCTATGGTGTTATTATTATCTGCTTGTCTATGAATTTCCGCTAATTATTAGTCACCTGTCATATGTCACCTGTCTACCTGTCTTATTATTTGTTAATAACTATTTGAGTTTGTTTTTTGTGTACCTGTTTTTAGCTCATAATAAAATATAGAAGAACTCTAGAGCTTCTAATTAAGTGGATTTTATGTATTGTTGTATTGATTAAAGTTAGTAATAATGAGATAACATTAAATGGGTAGAAATGGCATGCTCTCATTTATGCCTGTTTAAAGCAAGTACAAACAGGTATCGTACTGTTGAAATTTTGCAATTATAAAAGTTACAAATGACATGGGAATCTGTCCGAAGAGATACTTTATGCTATCAATATGTGTTTTGCAAATTGTATGTTTTGCATTGTATGTTTTATTAGCTGCTGTTTAAAGAACTACAATTTTTTAGGTTACTGTCACCCAAAGACAAGTTTTTGATTTTTTAGGATTTTTATGGATTCCAATTCTTATAAATTTCTTTGATGTTATTTTCATAATTTTTGGTTTCTTTGGTGCTTTTCAGTATAGACCAAAATATATAATTGCTGTAAGTATTTGTAAACAATCTTTAAGAGTAACTAATGCTGAGTAATACCTTTCAGTATTCGCTATGGAACTTATTTTGGCTTGGTTGGAATATATTTCTGATTTGTTTATATCTAGACATTGGATCTTTAAATCATAAGGTTAGTTTTTTTGTTCTTCTACCTGTAGTATATTAAGTGATTTTTAATTTACAGGA